CATGATCTTGCGGTTCGTGAGTTCAAGCCCTGTGTAGGGCTCTGTGCTGACAGCTCAGAGCAGAGCCTGGAGTCTGCTTCGAATTCTGTGCCTCCCTCTCTCTGCCCCTCTCCCATTTGTTCTCTCTCTCTCTCAGAAGTAAATAAAAATATTTTAAAAATAAAATACACTGTCTTAGATCAGGCTTACTAGAAGCAGAGCCTGAGATGAAGATTCTTGGGTAAGTGCTTACTAGGTAAGGGAGCATCCTCAGAAAGAACCTGTACTTGAGACAAGCAGGATAATGCAAAGGAAGGAGCCGAGTACCGGTGTGGTTTCTGCAGAAATTTAGCCCAAGCCTAAGCCCACAAGAGCTCTGGAATATGAAGGGCATTGCGAATGTACCCCTGGCCTTTTGTACCCCATAAAGTTAGCTTTGATTATGTCTCCTCAACCTGATGTGAGGGCACTTATGGGAGAAAGGGGCAGTTAGTTGTTGGTCAGTTCCATTCCCAACCTTTTACTTTTTTTAGAGTAGCCTATTGTTAAATTTTTCAAGGATGCAATAGTCTTCTCTAGTCTATTTCTAAGGAAATGAATTGTTCCTTTTCATTCTTTTTCCTCCTGATTTTGTTTTTTCTAGGTTAGTTTGTAAAAGGAAGCTTCAAAACTTTAAGTTATCAAGCAGAGAAAAAGAGCAAAACCAGGTCTAGAATCTTAAACCAGTCTGACCCTAAAGCCCATGCTCTTAACCATGTTAAACCATCTCCTTTTGTTACATCTTGATGAAATAATTTAAATGCTACCTCTCCGACTTTAAGGGTGTAATAGTCACTTGGAATTTGGTCTACTGGATAGCAAACACACTCACCAAAGCTACCTACCCTCTGTTAAATAAAATCTCTATTAGCCGGTAGACTCAAAAGATTTATTCTGCAAGCTTTCACCGAATACCTACTGTGTGCTAGAAGCCACAGTAGGCGTGTGTGCAAAGACGACCTAGACTCAGCTGGTGCCTGCATGAGGCCAGTGTAAACGCGAGGAGGCAGTTACGAACACGTACAACTGTTTTTGCAAAGCGTGAGCGCGGCTTCCAGGCAAGCACCAAACCCTGGGAATTTACCGGGGAGAAGAGGAAGATCTGGGGCTGCTCCGTACTCCTGTTCCCAAAGATTTCCCCAAGGAAAGGGAACTCCGTTTTCCTCAAGGGAGACGTGGAAGTACTAGGAACTTTTGGGGGTATTTGCTTGAATGTGCAACAGGGAAACAAACTGCGCCGTTGGGATTTCACTTCCCACTTTTCCGGCCGCAGGCTGGGCAAGAGAAAGTGCAGTTTTCCCGGGAGGGAGCTGTGATTGGCGGCGGGACTCCCGGCCTCTGCGAGCGCGTGGAGGGTGTCGGAGTGGCTCGGGGACTCAGACCTCCGAGAGTGTGGTGGCGCCCGGACGCCGCAGATCCGGAGAGTCCAGCTGCTCCGAGTCTGCGGCTCCGGCTCTGCGGGGGCAGGAGCGGGGCTGGGCGGCGCCCGGTAGAAGGTGCGATCCCGGCGGGCGCCGAGGCCGCGGAGCCTGGACAGCAAGACCAGTCACCGGCGGGGCGCGGGCACGTGCCAGGTGCAGCCTCAGGCCTAGAGGCGAAGCTGGTCCCCCGCTGGGCGCGGGGCGCGGCGGTCCTGGCCCCCGGCCCCAGGTGCGCTACGCCCCTCGGAGGATTTTCCGGTCCCGTGTGCAGAGGGACAACCAGGAACTCGGGCTCAGTCTCCACCCCGAAGTGGGGCGGGTCCGCGGAGAATAAGACCCGCTCTCCGGCCCAGACAAGGGTGTGTTCTGCGCGGCTGACTCGGACGAGCGCTACCCAGTCTGGGCACTAGCGGTAAAGGGAGCGCCGGGCCGGGGGGTCCTGGGCTGGGGGAAGGGGGTGCAGCAGCCTCGGGTCGCCTCGCGGGGACAGCCTTCCGCCGCGCCCAGGAGGGGGCGCCCGCCGCCGGCCTGCGGGCGGGGCTCGGAGGCCGCAGGGTGGAGCGGGCGCGGTCTGACCGGGGCTCACTCGCGAAGGGGCCAAGCCGGAGACAAACACGGCCAGTATCCACCGGTACTTTCCAGAAGGAGTAGTTTATTCAGTTCAGAATGTAGACCAGAGACCACAACACTGTGCTGACTTTGGGAATTAGCAAGAAAGGACTGAGTTAATACTCCCTGCAGCTGACTCCATCTCGTACCTAAGTTTTCTTTTGCATTTTTTTCTCCTGTAAGAAACGTACTCCCTTTCCCTAGTTTCTTACCCTTTTCTCGTCGTGTATATAATTCTCTTTTCTTGTCGCGTATCTAATGCCCTCAGCATAATGTCTGGCTGGCACATGGGAACCAGTTGTTACTACGAGATCCATGACTTGAGCCTGCCCATAGCACTGTCTCACTCTTTTTTAAGTCTTGGCTTTGACTAGCAGGGAGATTTTGGGGCCTAAGAGTCTATTGCTTTTCAACGATCTGCCCCACTTGAAGTACTTACCAGGTTGATGCAAGTCTGTGAGCTGTAATGAGTAACCCACACCTTTCGTGACAAGTGGGCATCTGCTCTTTCCAGCTGACAGTGGGAGGAATGGATAGGGTCCCCCCTCCAAGTTATCCATCCCACCTCCTCCTTACATTGCAAGTAACACAACTAATAGCCAAACCCTAGCTCTTTAGTTGCCAGGGAATTCTCAAATGACAGAGGTGAAAGAGCAAGCAGAAGAGGAAGGGAACAAGAAAATGGGTAATCACAGCCACCCGAGATCTGCTTGCTTCCTTCCCAGAGCCCAGCCCTGTCTGGCTGGCCAAGGCCAGATCCCTAACATTCAGCGCAGACCATTATTTTCTTGTTTGGGAGAAACACAAGCATGCACGCATGCACACACCAAGACATGACTATTAGATCAAGGGCGTCTGAATTTCCCTCCCAAATATTTTTGCATTTGGTTAGGGATCATTTTTCTCTGAAAGCAAGTTAGAGAGTACCATGCACAGTCAAGTCAAACCATGCCAGCCCTCAGCATCTTGAAGAGTGAGCCTCCTGGTCATCTGAAGACTCCTATCCTTTGGCCCATTTCTTTGCTTGTGTCTGGCACTCATTTGTTGTCCCCATCTTGATCCTCTGCTTATAGACTAAGTCTGTTTTTCTTCAGGGGAGATGGAAGTGAGTGCCAGGCACTGCTAGGGAATACTTGGGAGCTCAGAGTAAATAAGCCGGGCGGGGAGGGGTGTGATTTCCCTTGGGTGTCAATTTTACCCAGATATTTGAGGTTAAAATTACTTTTTATGCCAATAAACTATTTGTAAAAAAAAAAAAAAATTTGACAATAAACTATTTGTAAAAAAAATACTTTTTATGCTAAAACAATCAGATATATTTTGGAGTAGAATTCAAAATTTGTATACTTTTTTAATATAAAAGAAGAAACTTTAAAAAAATTATTTTGTTTGGGCTGTGCTTTGGCCCAAAGCTAGCCCTTGAGGGTTTACTTTGACTGCAATTAGGGCTACAGTGTCCGTGGTTTGAGAGGCACTGCAATGTCTTCCCTGGAGGGACTTTGAATAACAGTCGTACTTGGTTAATAATTTAATCTTCATTTCAACCTGAGGTAGCGTTAGTAACCTTGTGTTACATATGAGGTGGGTGTGGAGACACATATTAATGCCCCTGAATTCTTGAGGGACTTGCTTGGCATGTGGATGTGAGAATAAACTCACTCATTGTGGCCTTGGGCAGAGCTGTGTTGGATGGTAGGTTCTGTTGAATTTAAGATGTGGCCTTTGAAACCCCCAGGCTGGGTGGACTTGGAGATGGAGAGCTTTCTCAGCAGAGGTGTCTAGGCAGAGGCCTTGTAACCCCTTTTGGATGGGGCTGTGAAGGGCAGAAGGTTAGACTAAAGACCTCTAAAGCCATAGCTTTCACTTCAGTGTACCTCAGAATCCCTCAGGAAGCTTGCACGACGTACGAATTCTTGCCTCACTCCACACAATTCTGATCCAGTATGACAGGGCTGTGTCCAGGAAAATGTATATTTAATTGGCTCCTTGGATGATTGCGATTCAGGTGTTTCCTGGACCTTGTTTTGAGAAACGAAGCTTTGGAAACACTTAAATGAATATCTGCGTGCCTGATAAAATGAGTAAAGTATTAACAAAAACATAGGACTTCAGGGAACTTAGCCTGTCATTGTGCTATAAACTCTAATAATGTGGTAAAAGCTAGAATTGTCCCCTTTCTCAAGGACAGCTCTCTATTATACCTATTACATCAAATTCACCCCATTGTTATCCAGTGCTTGATATCCCTAGACCAAATAAAGGGTCTAAACTAAAGGAGTTTTGTTTGTTTTTAAACTTAATTGAAACTGAGATGGAATACTATATTAAGATTATTTTCCCTAGGAATTTAGGATGTCTAAGGCCTGTTGCTTGTTTTATTGGGAGTGACATGTTAGTGTTCAGTTGTGTTTGAACTGGACTAAGAGCTTTTGCTATGGGAACGTGAACCACCACCTTGGAAGAATTCTTTTTAAAGGTTCAACATATTTGAGGTCAGTAAATTGCCATACTGCTTCTTGGTCTGATTTGCTAGGCATAAGAACCCAAGTGAATATTTGCTCTAGAATGAACCATAACAGCCAGAGGGATAAATTGCAGCTATAGGCCAGACTGTAAATTGCTTTGAAAAACACTTTCAAGGGGCGCCTGGGTGGCTTAGTTGGTTAAGCGTCTGACTTTCGCTCAGGTCATGATCTCGCGGTTCGTGGGTTCAAGCCCCGCGTCAGGCTCTGTGCTGACTGCCAGCTCAGAGCCTGGAGCCTGTTTCAGTCTGTGACTCCCTCTCTCTCTGACCCTCCCCTGCTCACGCTGTCTCTCTCTCTCTCTCTCCTAGAAATAAATAAAACATTAAAAAAAAAAAAAGAAAAACACTTTCAACTACACTACTTCCACATTCCCCTTTAAGGCCTAGGTATAACACAGCATAAGCAGCCTGGCTTGTAACAGAGCAGGAGGCCCGGAGAGTAGCCTTTTTCAGGTCCATAGAAAGACCTCCCTGCCCAGTCACTGTGGATTCATTCCTGGGTTGAGGCTCTCACCTCGCCCCTCCTAAAAGGTAACATTAAATTATTACCAGAAGCTAACATAGAAGGATTGGTTTGTGAGTGGGAACAAGTTCTCCTGACTTGTGTGTAATTGAGTCCCCTCCCCCGGAGGAGGTCCTCAATAGATATAAGCCTCCAGGTATAATCAGCCCCCAGCATCTTCCCTCTCCTCTCCAGGGAGCTTGGGAAGCTTCTGGGTCCTGCCTAGCTTCAACTTCTGCTATTGACGCTTTTTGGTGCTATTCAAGAATCTCTTGACTCAGTCGTTCTCGTCCTTGTTAGTTACAGACCCCTTTGAGAGCCTGATTAAAGCCATGAATTTCTCTTGAGAAAAAGAAACACACATTTGACATTGTTCATACAATTTCAAGGGATTTTCAGACATCTGTCTGAACTCAATCATGGATACCTAGCAGGTATATAAGTATACTGTTCAGAATTGCCCTAAAATTGGGCAGTTTGTCAAAATTTAAAATGGTTTTGCCTTTGTTCTAGCAATTTGAATTCTGAATTTATCATAAAGATATACTTGGGTATGTGTGTAGAGATATGTGTATAAGGATATATATACTGCAGCCTTCCTTGTAGTAGCAAAAAATTGGAAATGAACTAAATATCTATCACAAAGGGACTGGTTAAATTATGGAAATCCATTCAGTGCAATACCATGCAGCTATTAAAAAGTGACGCAGGTTGAGAGGCTCCTGGGTGGCTCAGTTGGTTAAGTGTCCGTTTCTTGATTTTGGCTCAGGTCATGATCTCAAGGTTTGTGAGTTTGAGCCCCACATCAGGCTCTGCCCTGGCAGTGAGGAGCCTGCATGGGATTCTCTCTCCCACTCTCTCTGTCCCCCCTACTCTCTCTACCCCTTCCTCCCTCTCTCTCTCTCCTTCTTTCTGCCCCCTCACTGCTTATGCTTGCTCTCCCCCTGCTTCCCTCTCAAAAAAAAAAAAAAAAGGTGATGCAGGTTGATAGGAACACACACAGACTGATATTGAAGATACATTAAAAAAAATAAAATACAGGTTTGCATAGTATGCTGTTTCTTTTGTAAGAATAATAGAGACTGTTTATAGTCTATATACTTGTTAATGCATTAAATATTTCTGATAGTATACACAGAAAAATTAAAACAATGGTTGCCATAACAAGGTAGGGGGAGTAAAGTTCATCCAGATTTATCACTTTATACCTTTCTGTATAATTTGAATTTTTCATCATATTCACATATTGATTTTTTTAATAGAGTGTTACAGATATTATCTACCCATTTAACATTGTTTGTGAAGAGGGAGAATTAAGTATAAATGAAAAGTGGGTGCACCTGGGTGACTCAGTTAGTTGAGAGTCCAACTCTTGATTTTGGCTCAGGCCATGGTCCCAGGGTCATGGGATCAAGCCCTGTGTCAGGCTCCGTGCTGAGCATGGAGCTTGCTTAAGATTATCTCTCTCCCTCTGCCCCTCTCCCCAGCTCGTGTGCTCTTTCTTAAAAAAGAAAAGAAAAAAGAAAAAAAATTTGTATTATCGAATTTTTCTAACCTCAAAATTAACACATGATAATATATTTTCTTATTTATATACAAAGAGCTAACATGCAATTATGCTTCATTTTCCAATGAGATGTAATAGAACTTGCTCATTCTTGTCATACATGTCAGTTGGATTCATTATTCATTTGACTACACTCCAGCTAGTTCCAAAAAGAATGTAAGGTGCCTTGAACTACATGGTGGGGAAAGCTTGGTATTTAAATGATCTGATCAGTTCCATGTGTGTTTATCTACAGAAGCAGAGAGAGGAGGTAGATGGGATATGTCCCAGCTTGTAGACTAGATAGACCTGCTAGGGCAGGGCCCTACGTCAGAGTCTTAGCAGTGATATCAGACCTTGGGCACTGAGGGGCCTGACCTTGGCTCCAAAGCCTGAGTCCCCCTCTTCAGCCAGATGTGTCTTAGTCAATGAGGGCTCTGCCTCTGCATGTCAAAGCCTCCATGTCACAGATATTAATAGCTAATATTCAGCAGTGTTTCCTATGAGCCTGACTCAGTGCCAAACAATTGGCATGTTATTTATTAAATTTTTAATCCATATTATGTGGGTGCTACCATTATTGCCCCATTCTATACGTGAGGAAACTGAGGCACAAAGGGGTTGAGTAATTTGCTGGAGGTCACATACTAGCGAGTGGTAGAATCAAGATATGAATTCAATATCCTGTGCTTTACTGATGTTACCCCATATGATGGATTAAAAATGGGGAAACAGCCTGAAAAGGCAGGGCTGAGAGATTCAGATGACTGTGGGGCTGGACCCTTTTAGAGAGGAAGAGGTAGAGCCTGTGTCCATATCACTTGTCCAAGATGAACTCGATGCTAACCTTGTAAGTATCCAGGGGGTCCCGTGTGAGAGGTGAGTGAAGAGTATGGCAGACATGGACCAAGACCGTGCCCTGCTCTTGGTTCCATAGGCCCATCCACGCAGTAGCAAGACTCGAGGCAGCATTTAAAGGTAGGAGAGACAGCTCAGCACTTTGGGCAAGGGTCATTAGGTGCTGGGCAGGCTGTCAGCAGCCCCTGCCACATGGATAAAGTTTCACTTATTTACTATACAATGTGACAGACACTAGGGATTCCAAGATAAAACACACAGACCCCATCTTCAGGGAGATAAGCAAATCAATAATTCAGGACTCCTAGGACTGCGTGATACATGATTTGGTACTCTATGCACAGACTGCCATAGAACAAAAGAGGAGGTGTACCTAACTCCATCCATCATGGGTGGTCAGAGAAGGCTTCCTGGAGGTGGATAGGAGAAGAAAGGTTTACGTACAGGTATGCGGATGACAAAGCAAGACCATTATTCACTGGAGGTGTGACATATTGGTCGGAGCTGGTCCCAGATGGAAGAGTGGGAGGGCGCTCAGAAATTAAGGTCATTCTGTAGTCCCGTGGGAGCCAGGACCCATCAGTCTTGGGGGACAGGCCTAGAGGGTCCAAGGATTCTGTAGTTAGAACTTCTGTCCTGGATTGTAGATCCCTATTTTCTTTCACATCTGTTCTATTGCTTTGCACATTTATCTTTTTTTAAACATTTTAAAGGTTTGTTTATTTTTGAGGGGAGGGGGAGGGGCGGAGAGAGAATAGGGACAGAGGATCCGAAGCAGGCTCTGTGCTGACCGCAGACTTTATCTGGGTGAGGGGCCTCTCCAGTATGCATACTCCTGTTTCTCTGTGATTCTCCTATCCAGGAACGGTTATACCTTATTGTGTCTAATTCTAGGCGTGGGCCACGACCCCTCAGCTCTGAGCTCCTCTGAGGGCAGGAACTACACAGCCCCCATCCCCTGGCCTAGCATATAGTGTGTGTTACCATGTGTGCTGAGTGAATGTATGATTTCTCATGGCCTGGAAAATTTAGTCCAGCCTCCAAGCTCATAAAATGACCCATTTGTGAACATTCTCTCTTCCACCACTCTCTCCATGGTCTAAAGGTCCAGGCCCACTCAGAATGAAGTATTTTCCAAATCATGGCTGAAGCTTCATTTTTATTCTTCTCTCTCTGCCTGCAAAACTCTTTCGCCTTTGAAATCCGATCTGTTCTTGGAAACCAAAGTCAAATGAGAGCGTTTGACTGGGGAGGGGGCAGGGTCGGGTGTCTTCTCCTCCCACCATGCCACTCTGTTAATAGTTACCACATGCCGCCTTGTCTTTGAATTGGCCATATATCGGTTTACTTCTCATACGTGCTCCTTGACAGCAAGATACTGTCTCCTCTGCCTTTGTTTCTGTGACAATGCCTTCACCTGGTAGGGCGAAATCGGTATTTAAGTAAGGACTATGAGTGCCTGCATGCATGGTGAGCGGCAGTTTTGGAACTGGGGTCTCACACAAGGGACCACCTCTGTGAGAAACAGGGCCTGGAACAGGAATTGAGGGGAATAACCGGAGGTGCTTGTTGTAACTAGATTCAATAAGGGCTTTGGGGCCCACCCAGGATTTACTGATTCAAGGTCTCTGGAATACAGCATCTCCCAAATCTGTATTTCTAAACACTCCCCAACTTATTTTTTTGTGCTCACTAAAATTAAAGAACTTTTCCTAGAGATCATGTTTGCTGCTTTACAGTCTGTATTATAATTAAGATCCTTTTGAAGCCATAGCTACAGATACAGTGTCCTGACATTATCCAACGCCAGAAGAAAGGAGGAAGTTGGCAGGCTAACTTTTGTCTTTTTAGCCTGGGGGAAAGTCTTTCTCCAAGCCTCCTGGTAGATTTGTTCCTTATTTCTCATCAGCCACAGTGGGTCATGTGCCACTTGAAACCCATTTGTTGCCATTGGAATGGGGTTGCCTTAGACCAATCATTATTTCTTCCTGGGATGAATCCTACCTTCCCAGTTTTCCAAGCCCAACCACTAAACTCATGAAAGTTCTCTATGAGGAGGGAAGGTATGATGGGGGTTGACATTATTACTAATCCTCTCGGAAATCCTGTACGATAGTCACTACTATGTCAAAGTTTTATGCCAGAATAGAGTAATCATCTTAGGTGAGGTTAAATCCGGAGGGCAGAGCAGAGACTGGAATTTGGCCCCCTTGTTCTGGATTCCCAGCCTGCTGTGTCCAGCACAGAATGAGCTCCATTACAGCCTCTGCCAGCATGTGGGAAGAGAACTGAATTCAGAGTTTTACAGATATAAAATAACAGATCGGGTCTGCTAGGAGTAATACATGTTTGCAGTGAATGGTTTTGAGAACTCTACTATTTAAATAATCTTTGTCAAACACATTTCCTGAGTCATATTTATTCAGATATTTGAAAAAATGTTAATGTTGGGTGCCTGGGTCACTCAGTCAGTTTAGTGTCTGACTTCAGCGCAGGTAATGATCTCATGGTTTGTGAGTTCCGGCGCCTCCATGGGGCTTTCTGCTGTTGGCACAGAGCCTACTTCAAATCCTCTGTCTCCCTCTCTGGCCCTTCCCCCACTCACATGTGCGCGCTCTCTCTCTC